TCAAAGGTTTTGAGGTAATGGAAGAAGATACATCCACTTCCAAATCAAATTTAATTCAAACAAAATTAAGCAATTTGGATTCATCAACACCAGGTGTATCTCAAAAATGACTGACAAAGTCATAATAAACTTTATAATAGATACTCAACCATTTTCCTTGGTGGATAATGGTTCTTTTATAAAGATGATAAACATTTCTTCTCCACGTACCAAGATATTTTGCCGGCAGACATTGATGGCAAGAATTTTGGATAACTTTAAAATGAAAGAATCTTTAATATTAAATCTATCAGATGTCTCCTACATCTGTACAACAGCAGATTGCTGGACGCACAATAGAAGGTAAAAATGTTTATTTTCTGATTTATATGATATTCATATTTTTAGAGCTTATTTAGGAGTGACCGCACATTGGATTGATCTAAAAAATCTTAAACGAAAATCTATAGCATTAGCTCTAAAAAGAATAATTGGCTATCAGACTTATGACATTCTAGCATATATTATTTCAGAAATAGAACAAGGTATGTAAGATGATTACAGATAATGGGTCTAATTTCGTGAAGGCTTTCAGGTTTTAAATTTATTATAATTATTTTATAATATGATATAAATATAGAATATTTGGTGAAGATAATAACAATACTTGTAAATGACAACGAAATGTTATTATTATTAAAGTGCAATAATAAATAAATTATATATATATATGTAACAAATTATAATCATTTTATACCAATATTTTATTTGTGGAAATAAAGTTACGTAAAAAATATTTTAAAAAAAAATCAAAATAGCTTAAAAAGTAGCTAATAGCGCGCTACTCATTTGAAAAAAATAGCGGTAGCGATAGCGAGCTATTTTTTTATAAAAAGCGGTAGCGATAGTGCGCTACTTTTAAAAGTAGCGTTTAACAACACTGGTTAAGAGGGAGTTAAATAACAAAATCCAAGTGTGCAATATTGTCTAACTTTATTAAAAGCTATATATGATAGTATGAGTAAAAGAATAGGGAAATTTTTTCCTGATGATGAATATATGGGCATTTTTGTCAACCTAATCATATCCATATTTTATGAACTTGTGATTGAGTCGAATGATTAAAAAATATATATATTCAAAATATATTATTAAGAGACGCCTAAATCTTATACGTTAAAAACTTAATTAATATGCTTCCATTTTCATCAGTTCGAGTTAAAAGGTATTCAGTTTAAGTATAAAATTGGGATGAACTGGGATGAGAATGGTCAGGTGGCTGTGTGGGGTATCTATTAGAAAGAGAAAAACAAGCAACGATTTGCGGGAAAGGATTGGTATAAAAGCAATTGAAGTAGTAATTAGAAGAAATAGACTGAGGTGGTATGGGATTGTTGAACGAAAGATGATTTGGTTAAGAGATGCATTTCGATGGAAGTAATGGGATCAAGGTCTCGAGGACATGAGAATAATGCCCCCTATATATAATGACACCCAAGACCGTAAAAAGGGATCAGAGGTAAAACTGGTACCTGGGTAACCCTGAAAAACCGCTTATAAAGAATAAGTTAATGCTCTAAAACAACCATGGCTTCATGATTATTTGAAAAATAGATTATTAAAAAAATAATAATTAATCCTCTTTAATGTAAATTAATATTTCAACTCCTCTGCCTTGCCTGTCTAATGTTAAGAATGAGCTTAAAAAATGTTAACTATGTAATCTAACTCATCGTTAAATAAGATAAAACGAAATATTTAATCAATTGTAAATATTCACTTTTATTCTAAAATGAACTTCATTAATATTCAATTCACATATACAAAGTTCAAATAATCTCTTCTCAAGATATATACTTTGTTATGTTCTTCACAAATTATTAATGCTGTGAAGTAATGTCAAAAAGTAACGTCGTTACTTTTTTTGAAGAAAAGGAACGTCATTTGTTGCCTTCTTCTTATTGTATTATAAAATTACTTTTATTTATTTTTTAATTATTAATATAAATAATTTAATCCGAATTTTAATTCATATCAACATTTGCCTTCATTTTTATTTTAAATTCTGGTTGTTAAATTTTCTGTCAAAATTAATATTCAATCAAAATTAAAAGTAAATGTTAATAATGATATTATTATTCTTATAATTTATTTTAAGAATATTATGTCCATTACTTACTTCTTCAGATGAAGATGATTTAACCCTTCCCTGGCCACAATTTGAAATATATTTTAAACCAATAAAGAAAATTAATGGTACTAAGTCTACACTTTGGAAATGTAAATTATATACCAACACAAATATTTTAACCTCAATGTCCAGCAGTTCAAACTTAAAAAAGCATTTGAAGGTAAAAAGATAAATTATTATATCATTATTTTAAATATTACTTTAATAATAGAATAATATTTTGAAAGCTTAATCATGGAATTAAAATATAAGTAGGGCTGTGTCGATATAAAATATCGGATCGGCACCGATATTTAGAATTTTCCAAAAATATCGGATCGGGCCGATACCTGTAAAAACAGATACGATCTTTTTACTTTTTTTTGTTATTTTATTTTATGTTATGTATATATTTTACATTATTATAATATTTTCTTAATAATTTTTTTTAAACAATGCAAATGCACAACATCTAAATTTTATTCTTTTTTAAAATAGATTTATAGTATTTTAAAAGTTTTTTTTATTAAAATAGAAAGGAACACCCAAAGTTTTAATTATTTAAAACTTTTTAAATAATTACGCTAATTTTATTAATTATACTTTAAATAAAAGAATATTTTTAAATATGGTATTTGAATTGTGGAAATATTTTACAAAAGACAAAGATAATTTTGCAAAATGCGTTATCTGTGGAATCATCTGAGTTTACCTTCAGTACGGCAGGGGATATAGATACTTCATATCGTAGAAGCTTATCGCCAGAAAATCTAGAAGCTCTCATATTTATTTAAAAAAATCTAATATAGTATAATTTTATATATTAAATACATTTTATAATTCATACCAACTTAAAATGGATATATTATCAAATATATGTTTTTTAAATTATAGTCTTAATTGTAGAAATAAAAAATTAAATTAAATGCATAATTTGATTTTTTGCATGAAAATTATTGATTTCTTAATTACATTTGGTCAGTATCGCATCAATTTTGGAGCAATATCGGATCGGATAGGTGAAAATATGTGGATCGGCACAGCCCTAAATATAAGCAATTAAATTATACTACAGTATTGGGCTGGAAACCAACTTTAAAAACCCAAAATTAACAAAATATTGGTGTTGGTTCAAAGTATTATATTGAGTTTTAATATCTTCTATTTCTTGTTTTAGTATTGCTATTGGTTTGACTATAAATGTTAATAAATTTAAAGAATAAAAAATAGTGATTTTAAAAAACTTTGTTATAATAAATAAATATGAAAGAGTGGTGTAGCCAGGATTTATCCAATAACAAAATTTTACAGAGAATTTCATTATAAATTTTATTTATTATTAAAATACTATATATAACATCCAATTATTTAAAGCTGTGTTGAGCACTAAGCGCTCTTGTTTGTCTGATCAAAATTTTGAAATCAATTGTTGCTAAAAATAAATAAAAAATTGTTACATAAAGATGTTATCTTATAATATATTATTTTTGTATAATTTTATTTATATTATAATTAAATATATGAATATTTTTTTTATAAAACGATCTTATATATTCTTTTTGTATAGTTTTATTTTATTATATATTGTCAGAAAAAAATAAATATTATTTTTGTATATTTAATTTTTTTAAGTAACGAGTAGCCCGTTACTTTTTCGAAAAGTCAGTAATGCGCGTTCCTTTTTGAAAAGATAACGAGTAACGGTAACGTGTTCCTTTTTTCAGATGTAACGAGTAACGGTAACGCGTTTCTTTTTTGTAGTAACGTTTACAGCACTACAAATTATTAATTTAAATGTTATTTTATAGTGACTTGGCTATTCTAATTTAATAGGTAATGATCATCTTATTTAAAGTATCCTATAATTAATATACTCTCATTTAGAAAAATATACTATCTTTTATCTTTTTGAAATTTTTTAGTATCTAAGGATTCATTTTTCTATAAGGAATCTATCTATATATAGATGACTTCTTTTTATGGACCTGCCTAACTCTGATTGCAACTATAAATAATATCACCGTTTTATAGAGCATATAATAAATTGCTGTAGGATAAAATCACTCTATTTAGGATTTTGATTTTTTTTTAGTTGAGCAGATATATCACTTTTTGATGATATTTTGATAAAATTTCCATTCAAAATTGTAAAATTACATTTAGAGGATGTTGACATTGTCATAGATCCTATCAGATATCTTATAAATATAACAATACAACATAAACTCCTTTTTTTAATTTCAAAAAAAAATTGTATTATCATTTATACTTTCAAAATAAATACTCATTCTAAAATTAAAATAGGGTTTAAAAAATGTTATGTCTCAAAATATTATAAATAGTAAATAAAAGTAGGCATGTTACTACCCAATCCTGAGTGGAATATGTTATTTTTTTGATATATTTTCTATATAATTATGAAATAATTACCTTTTTTATATTATAGTAAAATTAACACTAAAATTATATTTTGGTGTAAAATTATTTAAATAAAAGATATATATTTAACTTCATAACTTTTCAGTCAATTAAGTGAATTTATAGTTCAGATGGAAAATTAATAAAATGATTTAAAATTTTATAGCAAATTGTATATTTATAGCAGCAAAATCAAGTCTTAAAAATTAAAAAAAATGCACTATAAATGATTTAAATGTTAAAAATTCCAATCTCTACAATGTATACATAACAAAATATATTTAATGGTTGACCTTTTTTTCATACTAGCATATTATACAATATTTTATATTATAATCTTGTAATATAATTAATTATAAGGTTTTATTATTACCTTTAAAGATGTTACTCATTTTATCATAAAATTTAATAAAAAAGTTAGAATTTTATTAACTGTCAAATCCTCTGGCATAGTCATATTCAAAAAAATCTTCCTGAGCATGTCTATGAGATATTCTTTCAACTTCAGTTCCTCTTAAATCATATAATTTACGTTTTTGGGGGTCACTGAGAGTTGTGAAAGCATTGCCTATTGCTATAAAATAGTAAAAAATATTTTAAATTTTCAGATGATTTTTTAAAAGAGAGCAATATATTTTATAGTAATTTTTTATCATTGCAAATGCATAAATTCAAACATATGTACCCTTGAAGGCTTCAGCTGAACCTGGGGCCTTATTTTTATCAGGATGAAATTGAAGGGCTAATTTCTTGTAGGATTTTTTAATATCAGCTTCAGAAGCATCTCGTGATATTCCTAATATCTCATAATAATCTTTGCATCTTTTAATTCTAGTTAGGTTAATGTGCAAATATAAATAAATACACTTTGTAAAAAATATGTAACATTACTAATTCAATAAACTTAAATATGGATGATTATAAATGATATTATACACATCAATTATTTAGGATACAACACATATGAGAAGAGATATATTCTAAATTTCAAAATTGTTATTATTTAAAATTCTTAAGATATATTTCAAAATAAATTGCTAAGATAAACAACACATATATATATACTACCTTTTGATTGCATCCATTTCTTCTTTCGAATAAAATGTCCTTTCCCTGGACTGTGACCTATGTCTGGTAAATTGGTTATCACCAGAATCTTTAGGAATAAAGTTGGAATGGTTAGATTTATGGGTGTGATTGGTATTAGTGGTTTGTTTGATACGATTTATATGGTCGAACATGGCTTTTAAATAAATTATAAAATAAATTTTTTATTGTATACTTTTAATTTTATGGGAAGGATATAATTTTTCGGCTTTGTGCAAAAATTTTAGGGCTTTATCCATAATACCCTCTTTTAAATATTTTTGGGCTAACTCATAGCATCGTTCGCTCTCATCTCGATTACTATCCATTAGAGCAGTATGCCTAAAATAGGATGATATAACAGGTCACGTGTGACCGCTGTCATTAGCTGTTTAATCAATTATAGAGAAATCATGAACAATGCCTGTTATCGAATAATAAAAAACAATAACCTAATTTACAATTTTTTTTATATATTTCTGCAATATATATTCTTACTTACTTACTTTCTTTCTTTCGTTCTTTCTTTCGTTCTTTCTTTCTTTTTGTATCTATAGCATATATATAATTTAGACTTGATGTAATCTTTATTGCAACCTATTAATCCATTTATACAAATAATATTAATCTTCTATATCTGATAACAACATTATAAAATACAAAACATCTCATAAAAACATACTCATCCCGTTTAATAATCCCCACCAATCATTCACTAAATCTCCATAAAACCATATGATGTGGATTGATTATTCTTGTCTATCTCCCCCTGTTCGGTAGCTAGTCACTTTATTTCTTCGAAAACATCCTTTGCAGACGCAAACCTTAGATGGTCCCAATGACGTTAAACTTTGAACGGTCCTTGAGGATCCAGTTAACGCTTAGACGGCATCGCGGTTTACAATATTACTCCTGAACCGATCATTGTCACGAATCGTATTCACGTGGACTGTCCACAAGGCGTTAGACGTTGGGCATAATCCGTTATCGTTTAAACCACCATGAGGTCTCTGTAATCACCATTACCAATTTACTCCTTATCCCATTATTATCATTAACTGGGTAGTCATCATCACTTGTCCATGTCGATGGGTCTTATCTATAGTCTATCCACTTTTAACTAGAATCTTCTGGGCAACTATTCGGGAGTATCTTTGATGATCAACATCGATCCTTATATATAACTTGGACTTCATTTAATTCTATATTGCAATCAAATAGTCCTACATCTGATGACAACATTATTGTTGAATAATGATTTAAACTCGTCTTATTTTATTGCGTAGATTATTCTTAATTTTATTTTGTAAAAAAATACTTATTTAACTAGATCTTTTAATATGTACTTTTATTTTAATTCTCCTTTTGATTATTCAATATTTTGTAAATTAACTTTTTATAACTTAACCTTTTAGATTCTAATTTTTAGATAAAAAAATATATATTGTAAATGTTTGAAGAAAATGAATATAGATACAAAAATAATTTATTACGGTATTAATATATGTTATTTTATTTTTACAATTATTATAATAATAATAATAATTGTTGTAATATAGTTTTATTATTTATATTATACTAGTAGAAAGCACGTCAAAAATGACGAAAAATGAAATTTTTATTCATTTTTTACGATAGATGTCATGCCAGGTTCAAGCTCACAATATTAGGAAGCATCCAAGATCTTATAATTTTAAAAAAGTTTATCAAGCCCAGCTCTACCCTTAATAATTTGTAAAAGATATTCCCAAGTCAGGTGCAAGCTAATATTAATTTTGAGGTTCCAAGCCCAGTCCTACCCATTATAATTTTGAAAATTTCCTGCCTCGGATATTTCCTTTTAACATTTCAATTTTTTTAATTTTTAATTGATTTATCATCACATGAAGGGGAAATATCTGATTTACCAATTGGTCTAATATGTAAAAAAATACATATTCCTTATTAAGGAAAACTGGGAAGCCCTGGGCATACCACTTATTAGAGACAAACTTTAAAAAAAATAGGATCCTTGTGAATAGGTATAGAATCTAGTGTTGTTAAATGGTTGGTTTTTTACGACCCAGAACCCGAGCCGAAGTCGTAGATATCTGCTCAATCGTGAGCCAGGGTTGAAAAATCGACCACGACCTAACCCAATGGGCCTGTTGAGCCGACCCATTTGGTTGGCTTGTTGGGTCGGCTTGCTGGGTCGGCTTGCGTTAAAATTTGTCATAATCGTTATTTTTAAGTTTTTTCGAATTTTTTTGAAGTAAATAGGTAAAAATATATATTGTAAACATGTTAAATTAAATTTTCAGTGAAAAGTGACAATTATCATAATCGTCATTTTTAAGTTTTTTCGAATTTTTGAAGCAAATAGGTAAAAATATATGTTGTGAACATGTTAAATTAAATTTTCAGTGAATATGTACCTTAAAAAAGTGACAATTGTCATAATCGTCATCTTTAAGTTTTTTCGAATTTTTTTGAAGCAAATAGGTAAAAATAAATATTGTAAACATGTTAAATTAAATTTTCAGTGAATATGTACCTTAGAAAAGTGACAATTGTCATAATCTTCATTTTTAAGTTTTTTCGAATTTATTTGAAGCAAATAGGTGAAATATATGTTGTGAACATGTTAAATTAAATTTTTAGTGAATATGTACCTTAGAAAAGTGACAATTGTCATCATAATCGTCATTTTAAAGTTTTTTCGAATTTTTTTAAATTAAATAGATAAAAAAATATATTGTAAGGATGTTAAAAAATTTCAAATATTATAGCCGGGCATGGGCAGGCGGGAGAAAACTCGCCCAATGCTGACCTTTAATTTAAACATCTATTAGAAAAATCTAGAGGTTTAGGCAATATTTTTCTTAAAGGCTCAAATCGAGCCGTTTAACAACACTATCGCTAATATTTTTAGAATCTTAAACTGACGATTACTAGAACAATAGTTATTGCTCTTTAAATATAAGTAATATGATTTGAATCCCATATTATACCAAATATATTGACGTTCTATATTTGTAGAGCTTCATTTGCGTAAATTCAGAAAATGAGAAAAATATTAAACTTTATATGAAATATAGGAAATATATATCGATCAATTTAATTTAAAATCTTTAAAAAAATTAACAAAATTTGTTTTTTAAAATCAAAATGCAAGTGAAGCAAATATAACAGTTATAATTATGTATAAAAATTGAAAAATTTGGTTATATTTTGGACATAAAAAAATTAGGATCTTAAGGTGATTACGAAGCAAAAAAAATATAAAAACAAATCTTGATCTTTGGAATCCAATTAAAAGTTCGGATCGTTTTTTACGACATAACCGAAGATATAATTTAGAAAGTGGTTAATTTGTAAAAATTAATATTACTAAATTACTAAAAAAAACGCCGAATATTTTGCGTTTTTAAATATTAAAAACGAAAAATAACATTAACATAATATATATGGGAAATGTGTCATAAATGGCCATGTTTGAAGACTAGCCACCACCTTTTAACTATTATCTTTTCGACCGATTTCTCCCAAAATTTGTCAAATTGTGTATTTTATGATATGTACTTTACCTATTGAATAGAGCAATCCAATAAAAAAAATTTTAAATAAGCTGTTTTTAGTACTTCTTTCTGGAAAAATCTCGTTACACATTTTTTTGTTTGGTGAAAAAATTACTAATTTAGATTATTGTTATTTTATATAAATATTATCCTTAGGCATTCAGCATTATACGTACAAAAAATTATGGTTTCAAGTTTTATTTAATAGGCATATGTATTGCCTGACCAAAATTCTATATTCATATAGAAATGAAAAGCTCGCTTTAAACATATTTGGTACAAAATCAAATGATGAACAAATTAAACTGGCAAATGATGATATATTCATTAATAAAAGATAAACATTATTAATATCTACTAAATTTAATATTCCTAAGAAAACCTTAAAGGTGAAGAGTGGATTAATTGTCTGCAATTTGAAAACTGGGCTCTACTCAATGTACGAATAACAATGATTTATTTGTTTGTTATGTAAATAGTGATACGATTGTTTCATTTATAAATTATTAAAATGGTTTTCATTATTGTTAATAATTCCCTAAATAATTTAATACATCATGAATGATAAAATTATTAAAAACAGTTAAGATAATAATTCATAAATTCAAAATAAATAGTGATTAATTGAAATAAGAATTTTTAATAAAAAGATAATTAAGATATAAATTGATAAAGTATAATTATTAAATGAATATTGATAAATTTAGATGTTAATATTAATTGCATTATTAAATTTTTATATGCCTAAAAAATGAAGAAATATATAAGATAGGTTTTTTGCAATCATTTCATATAATTCTTAAATAATTTATTATGGCCAGTAAACAATGTATTGACTGGCTAGAAAAACACTGTCACAAAACTTCATCTTCTACCTCATAAACTATTAGAGAGCTTTTATTAAATTTTATTTTAAAGAATCTTATAATACCTTTTTTCAAAAAAGCTTAAATATATATTTAACAATATATGATTATTTCAGGGATGTGAACCCGGGCCCTAACCCTGAACCCTCGTATTTTGGCTGAACCCGACATTTTAAAAAGTGAAGGGTTCAGGGTATTATAAAAAAAATTTTAATTTTAAAAAATAATGTAAAAATATAAATTTTTATAATTTTTTTTTCGTAAAATCATTTATTTTATATTCGCGTTTTTCTTCCTGGACTTTTATTTTATTTAGAGATTGATACCATAAATTTAAAACTATAATTGATAAAGCAAGGGATGTTGTAAAATATTTAAGAACTCCCACAATTGTAAGAATATTAAAATCTATAAAAAGGCAAATGACAATATTAGATTGCACAACAAGTTGGTCCTCTATTTGTATGATGTTGGAGCGATTAATAAGTTTGAAAGATTTCTTTAATGATTTTATTATAGGAGCATGTGAAGCCATTTTGTCAGAAGATGATTGGAATCAAATAAAAGACCTTACTAGTATGTTGGTTCCTTTAAAAATAACTAGATTAAGATTGCAAGCAGAACAGTTATGTTTATCGGATTTTTATGGCATATGGATAAGATGTCGATTAGAGTTAGAAAGATTTACAAGTTCTTTTTCTTATGAAATATTAGAAAATATGAAAATTAGAGATACAGTATTTACAAAATAGTGTAGTATATGCTTCAATATATTTAGACCCTCGATATCAAGTTTTATTAAGTATTGAGCAAAAATAAATTGCTATAGGCCATCTTGAGGATTTATGGCATACCCAAAACTCTATTATTTACAATATATTGGAGCTACTACAATATCTACTGGTCGTAGCGATAACAATGATAATGATAGCAACATTGATGATCTGGAAATTTTATTATTAGATAGAGAAGAAAAAATGAAATTATCATCAGATAGAAAGAAGCAAAAAGATCTATTGTATCTTTAATAGAAAAGTTCTCAGAAGTTAAGAGAAATATTTACAAAATAGTGTTGAATATATCCTTACATAATAAATATATATAAAATAATTTTATATATTTAATTTTGATAAATAGGTATATAGAATAATTAAGGCTAGGCTTAGTGTTGTGTAACGTCTCCCAATCCCTACATTTTGTCTAATTAGTTTTAGGCGATAGTTGATTTTTAAGCTAATAATACTACTCATAAATGTCGGACAATTTTATACAAACTTATGGAGAGACTTTAATTTATAATAATTTTTTTATAATTTTTCAAAATATTTTTATGTAAGGCTGTGTCCTAAATATCAAAAATTGCATAAAAATTAATTCGCGCAATTTGCGCGAATTTAACGAAAAAATTAATATAAGCCATTTTTAATGGAAAATTAAAATGATGGCCTAAATGATTTTTTCGATTTTGCACAAATCACATGATTCTTAAAAGTTATACGATTCGTAAAACTTTAATCATTTTTTCCTTAAACTTTTACAATTTGAGGGATTAAATGGCGACTGAATATTTATTAATGGAAAATATTAGAAGATATAGATATTTATGAAAATCAGGTATAATTATAAATACATATAAATATTATTTTATATTTTAGGTTCAGGTGCTAATATTTTGAATAGCAAGCAACTCAAATTTATTGAGGATTATTATTGGCTAAAAGAAAATGTTGAAGATATTTGTAATAATGCAGAGGCAAGTTTTAGTTTGGATCAAATATCTTCACATGTATTATAACATGAAATTATAATTATATATTAACAATATTTTAGGATTATGAACAAAATATCCAAGATGTGGTGAATGTACAAACATCATCACAGGTATTATAACATGAAATTATAATTATATAATAACAATATTTTAGGATTATGAACAAAATATCCAAGATGTGGTGAATGTACAAACATCATCACAGGTATTATAACATGAAATGTATATAATGAACTATATATTAGGATTACGAGTTAAATACACATGATCTTTTAACTGATATTGTTAATCCTACTGATATATATGAGAAAGAAATTTTAGAGGTTAAATTAATTTTATGTATATATTATTAATTTAATTATAGTTAGACAATTCTTTTAATAAAGAAAATATTAATCCATGTAGCTCAAAGAGGAAGAATTTAGATACTCCTAAAGCTAAAAAATCTAAGAAGTATGAAGATGAAAAAATGGAGATATTTAGGGGTACATTTATATATTTAATAATTATTAATTTTTAAAATAGGTTTTGCTGCCAAACATACATCCCAAGGAGATTATCCTCATAATATTATGGGTTTTTTCAAATCATATCAAGCTCAATTCAATATTATGACTGATAAAGAAATTTTTGATTTTAAATTAAAATTTATAACAATGTTGGTTTAGTTTATACTGTATTTTTTTAATTAATTTATACATTTTTATATCTTAATTTTTAATACCATAATATGTTAAACATATTTTGTATATTTATTTATAATAAAAATTATTGAAATTTAGTCATTTGTCTTACTCATTAAATTAATTAGAAATAACTTACTTATATAATGTAATCAAAACAACACTTTTATTTGCACTTTTTATTGAATATTTATAAATAAATTATATGACTTTGACAAATGAAAACATTCATAAGAGATATAAGGTTATGAGAATTAAAAAATAAATGTATACAAAAATTTTACATATAATTATTTACATATAAGTTAAATGTTTCTCTGATATTATTAGAGCTCTCATTCCATCACTGGAACTGAGATTGGGTAAAATTTGAAATTGGATATTCTTCATGTACTGGTGTACAATCATTTCCCTCAAGATCAATAATAATATTATGCAAAAGGCAGTCAGCCTTAACTATTTGCATAGTGTTTGTAATATTTGTCTTTGCATATAATGCTATTTTCTAAAGCTCATACCAGTTGTCAAATATCTATAAATATATACAGATTATAAAAAATAAAATCATCATACATGAGTGTTATATAGAGACGTTGCTTCATACTAATAGTTTTTATGTTTAACTATAGCGGTGTCTATAGACTCCAAATTTATAAGAATGTAGTTGAATGTTTCCACATGCATGTGGAACATCTGACGAAATTTGTCAGGATAAGATGGAATACTATCAAATATTTTAAAAAGTCCTTGATCTCTAGAATTAATACATATAATATAAATAATATCATATATACCGGCCTTCTAAAAATCTATGTCTTCTTCTAGGCTCAGTCGTATCAACAAATTCATATCAAACATTTTAAAATTGAAAATAAATGTATGAATCGGGACATGTTTCGTATCTCCCAAATCTCCCATTTTAAGAAATTTTTTTTTTGATTTAGGACACAGCCTAAATTAAAATTTTAAGAAATTCGATATAAAATCTTCTAAAATTTATAGGGTTTAGCTTTTAATGTATATAGATTTTAATTATAAATTATTAAATATAAAAATTTTTTGGCGATCATATGAAATTCCCAGGGTAGATTCTCTTCAGAATAGATTTGATAAAATCAAATTTATCAAGGAAATTAAAAACACGCACTAAATTCAGATCAGAGAGCTACAGGCCTGGCCTTAAACCAGATTCAAATGCCTGGGCCGAAAATTTTATTTTTTAAAAATACATGGGCTGGGCTAAAAAAAATTTTTAAATGCCCGGGCTGGGCCATATATTTTATAAAAATCATTTTTATAAGAATTTTTTTTAAGATTTTTATTTCCTTCCATTTCGTCGATTTCAAAAAATAAAAATGTTTTAATAATATATTAAATAAAATAACAAAATTTTCGAATCTTTTCTATTCTTAAAAAAACAAGCCAGATGCCGTCATATAAATTCTCTGAACACCCTTGAATAAAAAAAAGGGAAAAAATAATCTTAAGTAGTCTATTAATAAAAGTCTACAATTTTTGAATAATAAAAGAATGTTTTATATACTTTCAAAATATTAAAATTTTTTTACTTAATATATATAATTTTTTTACTTAAAATATAATATAAAATATAATATTTTTATTACTTTTAAAATATAATAGGAGTGACTAAATTTAAATATTATGCTTACATTAAGCAAAAATTATGATAGTTATTTGAGTTAATATAAATATTTATTAAACATTTAAAAATAGAGACTTAAGAACTTATAAAATTAATAAAGCATATAGTTGCAAAATAGGCATTTTTAAAATATGTTTGTTACAAGGTTTTACAATGGATTTGATTATATAATAAATAGTTAATTTAATTTTAAATATTTTATATTAAGGAAATCATACATTATGCCAAATTTAGACGGAGAAGAAATCTAAGAATATTTAACAGATCCGGTTTCTCAAACCTCTGATGATAATATAGATTGGTGGTCTCGAAACGCTAATCGTTTTCCAAAGCTGTCGACAATGGCCAAGGATTGCTTATGCGAACAAACTACGTCCGTAGCAAGCGAACGTATTTTTTCTCGAGCTGGCGCAACCATTACTAAGAAGAGGAATAGGATGTCAGCCACAACGTTAAAACAATGCCTATGTATAAATTCATGGGATGTTAAAGCTAAAATGGCGACCAATATGGCCCCTAGTTGAAGCGAGAGATTTTAAAATATAAAATTAAAACATGGTCGCCAATAAATTTCAATCAGTTATTACAAATGAGACAGATTTTATAATTTAAATTAATATTAAATTAATAACGAATTATTATAAATTTTAAATTTAATAAAGTAAATAATATAATTTAAATATTTATTAATTAATTGTATATAAAAAAATTAAATATAGGATTGTTTGTAGTATTTAATATAATGTAATCAATATATTTAAATTTAATATAATAGTTAATATTATTAACATAGTTAGTATATATATATTGAATATAATTTAATATATATTTTATATAATTTATTTACATATATATAAAATTTAATTATAAATATTTATAAAATATTTAAAATATGTATTTAATATTAAATTAATTGATATATAAAATAATTAAATATATGATTGTTTGTAGTATTTAATATAATGTAATCAATATATTTAAATATAATATAATAGTTAATATTATTAACATAGTTAGTATAATATATTTTATATATTAATTTACTTATATATTGAATATAAAATTTAATTATATATAATATATTTAGATATATAAATATATATTGGTTTATATAATATATTGCTTTATGATTAATTGGTATATGTTAATTACTTAACTTACTAAGAAATCCCTAAATAAATTTTTTATCGTTGGATTTATACTTATTTATATAATCATCAGATTTATTCACATATTTTAATTTTGAGATTCTATTAGTATATATAAGTTACCTAACTTAGTTGGAAATCCCTGAATAAATTTTTTATTGGTGGATTTATACTTATTTATATAATCATCAGATTTCCTCACATCTTTTAATTTTTTTGAGACTCTATTAGTATATATAAGTTACCTAACTTAGTTGGAAATGAATAAATTTTTTATCTTTGGATTTATACTTATTTATATAATCATCAGATTTCCTCACATCTTTTAATTTTTTTGAGATTCTATTAGTATATATAAGTTACCTAACTTAGTTGGAAAAACCTGAATAAATTTTTTATCGTTGGATTTATACTTATTGCAATGATACACATTTATTAGCATTAAAGGATATATTTTTATTTTATTAAATAATATTTATTTCACAAAAAAATGTATAATCTTATAATACATTATTTATAAGGGTAACGTTTAGTATAAATATACGAATAACGTTAAATACAGAAAAAAAATAATTGGATAAAAAATGCGCATAAATGCATTAGAAAACGGTAATAAATAAAAAAAAAAATCACAAAAATTGTGGATAAATACAATATAAAATTAGGCCATAAATGTAAGAACGACCATAAATATTGTAATTGGCGTATACCACTTCTGTATGACCCGACTAGAATATAAATACTTAGACTAATAGCTGTTATTTTATTGACAACATGAAAATTATTGAACAATTAATATAATTACATGACGGAGGAAAAATCGTGAAAAAAAGAATATATGGCAAAAGTAGACATTGTAGTTTTAAAAAAAACTTAATAGATTTTTTTGAATATAAATATTTTGATATTTTTTCTAAATATTCCATAGGAGTATATATATATACCCACAATAAAGAAATATATTTTCCCTAATATTATCGTCTATTTTGATATTTTTCTTCTCTCTGTAACTTTCCTTCCATCATCTAATTGTAATAATTTAAGATCCATGTCCTGTTTTATAATTTTTATAGTGTCAATAAAAAGATATATGTTAGGATGAAAGTAAGGAAAATATTCTTTCAAAGATCTATGGAAACCTTCGACATGATTATTTGTCCTTTCATCCCTAACATCAAATGTATTCCACATTTGGTAGTTAAATCTTGCATTACTATTAATCCAAGTATTTTCAAAATAATCTAAAAAGTTGTATATAGAATACAACCCAAAAGAATCAGCTTGTTTAGTTCATTTATAATATATGGCACATCTCGCTCTAATAAAAATGGAAAGACATAATTGTAAGGAAAATTTTTTTTACATCATTATTTTGTATATTTATCATGGTCAGACCACATTGCTGAATGCGCCTAACGATACATTGAAAAATGGAAATAACAGCCTTTGACAAGAATGTTTGTACGCCAATTTCAAAATCAATGGTCGCATATTTTGGGGAAAAATTTAAACCTAAAGTTAAACAATAATTTTATAATAAATTAAACATATTTATATAAGTATTTTTATATTTATTAGGCAATAATATATAATACAATTAAGGTATGGTTAATTAAAATATTAATAGTATAAAATTGATAAAATAATTTATGGGAGGAATTAAAAGTTCCATCCAAAAAAATTTTCCTGCCAAACAAAGGCGTGAAAGAAGAGATCTTGTAGAAAATTTAACAATTTTTTATCATCACAACTATGAACTAAAAAATTAGTTACAGTCATGGTAATTGTGTGCTCTTGGCTTAATATAATATCACCATTTGAAAGGGGAGGGGAGGGGTCGTGTTAATTGAATAACACGTCCCATAATGGATTAGCTGATAAAAAAGTAGGTAACGTTTTGGGGTTTTGCATACTGAAAGGATCGAGTTTTCTGTCTCTCATAACATTTCTGTATGTCTTTCTAATACTGATATTTATATTTACCATAAGTTCTGTTTTAAGCATATTGATCGTGATGAGTGTATTATATATTTCTTCATCATTTTGATCAATATGCTTTTGTGTCATTATAAAATGAGTATTTAAAATTCCCCTCCCTTTACAATGTTTTATATGGCATTTATAATATATTAATTTATCATTAATGTACAAATACTTATTAGAATATAAAAA